AGAGAAAATCAAATAGGAATTTTTAAATATCTTGAGACAAAACAAAAACATAATTACCAAAACTTATGAAAGCAGCAAAACCAATACTAAGAATAAAGTTTATAGGAATAAAGGCATATATTAAAAAAGAAAAGAATCAAATAAACAAACTAATTTACACTCAAGATATTAGGGAAAAAACAAAGTTCAAAGTTAGCAGATGGAAGAAAATAAGAAAAATTAAAGCATAAATAAATAGGGAATAAAAAATTAGAAAAGAACAATAAAATGAAGAAATTTTTTAAAAATAAAGACAATTGACAAATCTTCAGCTAGATTAACTAAAAAAGAATGCTGGGTGCTGCCTGTGGCTCAAAGGAGTAGGGCACTGGTCCCATATGCCAGAGGTGGTGGGTTCAAACCCAGCCCCAGCCAAAAACCTCAAAATAAATAAATAAATAAAAAGAATACCAAAATGCTCATCCTACCCAAAATGATCCACAGACTCAGTGCAACCCCTATCAAAATCCCAAAATTTGTATGGAACCACAAAAGACTGAACAGCTTTTCTTGAGAAAGAAGGGCAAGGCTGGAGGAATCATACTTTTAAATATCAAAATATATTACAAAACTACAGTAATCAAAAAGTATGGTTCAGGCATAAAAACAAACATATAGACCAAGAGAATAGAATCAAAGGCCCATAAATAAGTCCAAATATTTATGGTAAACTGACACAAGAAATCCACAAACACACAATGGGGAAAAGACAGTCTTGTCAGTAAATTGTGTTGTACACACTGGATATCCACGTTCCCTAGAATAAAATTGGACCCTTATCTCAAATTCTATAATATAGAAATCAACTTAAATAAAGACCTAAATGTAAAACCTAAAACTATAAAACTACAGGAATAAAATATAGGAAAGAAGCCATTTAACATTGGTCTAGGTAGTGATTTTGGATATGACTCAAAAGCAAAAGCACAGGAAACAAAAGCATATTTTAGATGAACGGGATTGCATGCACAATAAAAAGGCAGCCCACAAACTTAGAGAAAATATTTTCAAACCATGTATTTGACAAGGGGTTAATATTTAAAATGTACAAGTAAGTCACACAACTCAATTGCAAAAAAAAAAAAAAATTAAATTAAACCCCAAAATTAAAAGCAAAAGAATCGCAAATGAACCCCTACACCATTATTTAAACACGGATTAAGAACCTGAAAAGATATTTCTCAAAATGTTGCATCCAAATGGCCAACAGGTATATAAAAAGGTGCTCAAACATTAAAAGTCATTAGAGAAATAAAGATTAAAACCATAATATTACATCACACCTTTTTTGTATGTACCACAGTTTATCCCCTCACCTACTGAAGGAAATCTTGGTTGTATCCAAATTTGGCAATTATGAATAAAGCTACTATACACATCCATGTACAGGTTTCTGTAACATCACACCTTTTAGGATGGCTATACCCCAAAAATGCAAGATAACAAGTGTTACTAAAGAAGTAGAAAAAGGAGAACCCATTACACTATTGGTGGGAATATAAATTGGTACAGCCATTATGGAAAACACTTCTGCATATAAATCAAACAAAAATGAAATCAATATCTCCAAAAGATAACTACACTTTTATGCCTATTGCAGCATTAGTCCCAATAGCCAAGAACTGAAAACAACTGAAATAAATAAATAAATAAATAAAAATAAGTAAAAAATAAGTGTGTGTGTGTGTGTGTGTGTGTGTGTGAGATAGTGAGAGGTAGAGGTGTATGTATGTGTACATATATATACATACACATATACACCATACATACATAACTGAATACTTTTCAGGCTTTTAAAAGGAATAAAATCTTGCTATTTGCAACAACATGAATGAACCTAGAGGACATTCTGCTAAGTGAAATAAGCCAGACAAAAAGGCAGATTTTGCATGACCTCATTTTATACATGGATCGGAAATAGTCAATTTCACAGAAACACAGACTAAAAGGGTGGTTTCCAGGGGTGAAGAGTGGAGGAAATAGAGAACAAAGTTTTGGAAATCTGGTGTATAACACAATGACTATAGTTAACAATAATATTGTATTGTGTACTTGGAATTTGCTAAGAGAAATGGGCATTATGGGTTATCCCCACCACCACCACCGTGTAACTATATGAGGTGATGGATGTGTTCACTATCATATTATTCCATGATGTTATATATATGAAAACATCACATTTTGTACCTTAAATGTACCTAATTTCTATTTGTCAATTATTTCCCCATCCCAATAAAACTAGGAGGAAAAAGATTCTTTTCACACTTTCTAATCACTAGCTGGATTTTTGACAAAGTCTTAATTCTCTCTCTGTAAAGCAGACTAAAATTTTAACATTCTCTTAAAATATTGATGATTTTATCTCTTCCTAATGAAACAATAATTATATCTCTTCCTAATGAAACAATGACAATCATTATTTTTAAGTTATGCAAACAATGACATTTAGATGTTTGAGTTCTATCAAGTATTATAGCATAGCTACAACCTAAACATTCCTTTCGTATACAACAGAAAATGAAAGACACTAATTTACACATTCTGTAAACTGGCTTAAATTGCTTTAGAATTATTGGATTATTTGTCTAACTGCTCTTTTCTTTCCAGTTAAATTTTAATCCCTTGGAGTATTGGCAAACAAACACCTTATTCATCTTTGTTTTCTTGATAATGAATAGCACAATGCTTCCTTAGATAAGCCTTGCAAAAAATATGTTAACTTAATTAATTATAATTAACTGTATTTAATTTTCTCTGAAAAATGCAGATTCTGGAATTGGCTATCATTTGTTGCTTTTCTTATGGTGTTTACTTTCACTGGACTTCTCATTCCTGCACGTACATATTTATTTATAAACTTTTCTGATGTATATTATTCATTAAATATCTACTTTACACTGATTGTTTTAAGGTAAGAATATCATTTATATTTTTCTTTTTATTGTAAATTGAATGTCTGAAGATTATTTTTTAAATAATAAAAAACTTTTCATCCCTTAGATTGAACAATTGAATTAAGTTTCTAAAGAAAGGTTGATTTAATGATTTCTAAGGAATAATTAAAAAATAAATATTTAGTATGCTTCAATTTTAAATTAAATTTCAAAGCAATGCAACACTCCAAAAATTAGAACAAGGGAAGACATCTTTTATAATCTTAATATACCTAGAGGCAACTACTCTATCATTTGGTATATTTCATTCAGTGTTTTTTTGTTTTTCTATGAGGTTTAATGAAATTAAGCACCAACCATAAATAAAAATCTTATCCTGTATTTTTGCTAGTATTACAAACTAAGTTTTCTATTAATTAAAAATTATAGTTGGCAATAGCTTTTGAAAAAAAAATCATAAGGAAGCCCTCTTTGTAAATGTATTTTTTGGCTCAAGTGATTTTTGTAGCTCCTTTCTCCACTGTAAGGAGGCAGAAAAGCATGTGTCCATGACACAGAACAGGAAAAAGCACCATCATTAGAGTTTCAAAGTTCTTTAATCTCCACCATGGAAATGGCTAACCTTACACTTCCATTTAGTTGGATGATTGACAGCAAGTCAACTAGTGCCAAGTAAATGGAAATCAGTGCCAAATTATCAGACAAAATTAGGATAAAATGGAGGAGTCATATGTGACTGAAAGAAGAAATAGAAAAAACTTGACCAATATTGGGCAAATTCAGCAAAGTTTAAATCTGTAAGAAAAAGAAAGGAATGGCATTTTCTTCTTACTTCTTATTCATTAGAATTGTTTTTATTTATTTTTGGGATCCAGAATTTATCTACAAAACATCTCTAAATTTTTTTTTCACCTAAAGAAACACCACTCCAGGTGATGTGGAATTATCCTACTACTCATCCACTAGAAAGTACCAAAAAGAATAATGCAATTCTCTCCACAAATCTCTGTGTGAAATGCATTCTGCCTTCTTGAAGTGCCATGCCAACAGTGTAAGATACATGTCTTATCTGTTTGAGAGTGAGCAATTCCACAAGGAATAGATTAGAATAGAGCAGAAAGAAACAGAAAGAAGTTTCTATGACTAGAATAACTTTCTAAATGTTGTGTTGTCTTTTAGACTTTTGGTCTTTCTACTAATGAGCCCTGTTTTGTCTCGAGTTGGCCATGGGTTCAGCTGGCGCTGGGCATTCATAATGGTCTGGAGTGAAATGAAAGGGACACCGAATATAAACATGGCCCTGCTGTTTGCCTACTCTGACATTGCTCTTGTATCTGAGAGGGAAAAATCTCAGGTAAGGAAAGCTATATTTTCTTATTTTAATAGTTTACAAAACTGTTGCTGTGTACTTAACATATATTTTTGTACTGAAGGAGATCAACCCCACTTGAGCTGTTGGTGTGATATAGTGATAATGGCGACATTGGAGAGGGGGGAACAATTGGCAAATTTCCCCCTCCCTGTTGTAATTTAGATTTTTTTAATTCTTTCACATTTTTAAAATAGGATTACTACGAATATTAAGGGAATTAAAACTTATTTAAAATAGTACCTAATGGGGGGGGTGGAGCCAAGATGGTGGACTGCAGCCAGCTTCCCACAGAGGCTGCCATCCAGAAGGAGACTTAAAGGACAGACGTCTGGCAAGCAAGTTGATGGTTTGGAACTGAGCCAAGAGAGAAGATTGAAGTACCCACAACAACTTTGCTGAGGCAAGCTGTGACCTCAGAAATACAATCAAAAGGTACAAAACCTACCACGAACAGTGGTGGCAGAGTCCTCAGCTCATAGAGCTGCGTGCACTGCAGTTGGCGATGGAGGAACCCACAGCTCCTGGTGGGCCCATAACTGCTTGCTAGAGCCACACACACGCCGGGGGCAGTGCAGGAGTCCCCCACTCTGGGCAGGCTCAGAACTGCTTGCTAGAGCCAGGTACACCCCTTGGGGAAGTGGCAGAGGAGTCCCTAACTAGGGCAAGGCCCAAAACTGCTTGCTAGAGCTGCAAGTGTCCCACGGGAGGTGGTGGAGAAGTCCTCCTTTCTGGGTGAACTCAGAAATGCTTGCTATAGCCACAGGTGCCCCACAGGGGCTGGCGGAGGAGTCCCCCACTTCAGGCAGCCCAGAACTGCTTTCTAGAGCCCCACGCACTCCGCAGGGGCTGGCGGAGGAGGCCGCCACTGCCTGTGGGCCCAGAACTGCTTGCTAGAGCCATATGGCCCTGCAGGCAGCAAGGAAGGTGTCCCCTGCTCTGGGCAAGCCCAGATCTGCTTGCTAGAGCCGTGTGTGTCCCGCAAGCAGCTGCGGAGGAGCCCTCCATTTCAGGTGGGCCTAGAAATGCTTAAAAGAGCCACAAGTGCCCTGCAGGCAGCGGTGGAGGAATCCCCGCTCTGGGTGGGCCCAGAACTGTTTGCTAGAGCCGTGAGTGTCCCATGGGCAGCTGTGGAGGAGACCTCTACTCTGGGCAGGACCAAAACTGCTTGCTAGAGCCACATGTGCCCTGCAGGGGCTGGCACAGGAGTCCCCCGCTCTGGTCAGGCCCAGCAAGGTGTAAATCCAAAGAAGAGCATTTAAGAACACAAATACAGGTACAAAGTGGGCCCCAGAAGTGTTTGCTAGAGCTGCACAACTCCCATAGGTGGTGGGTGGCTGTAGAGAAGTCCTCAGCTCTGGGCAGTCACAGAACTACTTGCTAGAGCCACCCATGCCCCAAGGGCGGCAGAAGAGGTCCCTGCTCCACGCTCCAGGTTCCCGCTCTGGGTGGGCCCAGAACTGTTTGCTAGTACTGCGGTGTATCCAGCAGATGGCAGCGGAGGAGTCTTCCGCTCCCCATTCCCCTGCCCCCGCAGTTGCCCAGGAGGGGGTGAACTAGGACTGATCCAGCTGCTGCTGTTCCCCTGCCCCACAGTTGCCCTGGCAGGACAAACTAGGACTGATCTGGTTGCATGCATGTCCTGCACCACTGTTGCTGTTCCCCCGCCCCCCCAGTTGCTCTGGTGGGGCTAAACTAGGACTGATCTGGCCACAGCAGTTCCCTTGTCCCCTGGTTGCACTGGTGGGGCCAAACTAGGACTCTAAGAAAAGAAATAGTTAAAGATGCTAACAAATGGAAAAACATACTATGCTCATGGCTAGAATCAACATTGTTAAAGTGTCCATATTACCCAAAGCAATATACAATTTTAATGCAATCCCTATTAAAGCACCACTGTCATACTTTAAAGACCTCAAAAAATAATACTTTGTTTTATAAGGAATCAGAAAAAAATTCTATTAGCCAAGACATTACTCAGAAATAAAAACAAATCAGGAGGAATCATGCTACCAGACCTCAGACTATACTATAAATCAATAGTGATCAAAACAGCATGGTACTGGCACAAAAACAGAGAGGTAGATGTATGGAATAGAATAGAGAACCAAGAGATGAACCCTGCTACTTACTGTCACTTGATCTTCAAGAAGCTTATCAAAAACAACATTCAGTGGGGAAAAGACTCTTTATTTAACAAATGGTGCTGGGTGAACCGGTTGGTGACCTGTACAAGACTGAAGCTAGACCCACACCTTTCACAATTAACAAAAAATGGACTCTTGCTGGATAAATTTAAACTTACGACATGGAGCTATAAAAATACTAGAAGAAAGTGCAGGGAAAACTCTTGAAGCAATAGGCCTGGGAGAATATTCTTAGGAGGGGGGACTCTCTGGTTAATTGAAGCAACACCAAAAATACACTGCTGGGACCTGATCAAACTAAAAATCTTCCACACAGCCAAGAACACAGTACATAAAGCAAGCAGACAGCCCTCAGAATGGGAGAGGATATTTGCAGGTTATGTCTCAAACAAAGGTTTAATAACCAGAATCCATAGAGAACTCAACGGTATTATCAAGAAAAGAACAAGTGATCCCATCTCAGGGTAGGCAAGGAACCTGAAGAGAAACTTCTCTGAAGAAGACAAGCACATGGCCTACAGACACATGAAAAAATGGTCATCATCCTTAATCATCAGAGAAATGTAAATCAAAAACACTCTGAGGTATCATCTACCTCCAATAAGATTAGCCAACATCACAAAATCCCCAAACCATAGATGTTGGCATGGGTACGGAGAAAAGGGAACACTTCTGCACTGGTGGGAGTGCAAACTAATACGTTCCTTTTGGAAAGATGTTTGGAGATCACTTAGGGATCTAAAAATAGATTTGCCATTCAATCCTACAATTCCTCTACTGGGTATATATCCAGAAGACCAAAAATCACTTTATAACAAAGATACTTGCAACAGAATGTTTATTGCAGCCCAATTCATAATTGCTAAGTCATGGAAGAAGCCCAAGTGCCCACTGACCCATGAATGGATTAATAAATTGTGGTATATGTACACCATGGAATATAATGCAGCCTTTAAAAAAGATGGGAGACTTTACCTCTTTTATGTTTACATGGATAGAGCTGGAACATATTCCTCTTAGCAAAGTATCTCACAATGGAAGAAAAAGTACACAATGTACTAAGCTCTACTATGAAACTAATGTATAAGCACCCACACTTCATATGAAAGCTATAACCCAACTACAGCTCCAGATTAAAGGGAAAGAGAAGGAGGAGGGGAGGAGAAGGGAAGAGAAGGGGGAGAATGGGTGGAGGGAGGGTAATTGGTGGGACCACACCTATGATGCATTTTACAAGGTTACATGTTAAATTTATTAAGTGTAGAATATAAATGTCTTAACACAATCACTAAGAAAATACGGTGAAGCCTATGTCAGTCAGTTTGATGAATGTATTTCAAGTTGTATATAAAACAAGTACATTGTACCCCATAATTGCATTAATGTACACAGCTATGATTTAATTTTAAAAAGTTTAAACTCAAAAAAAGAATGAGAGAAAAGGAAAGAGGCTGAGAAAGAGACAGAAACAGATGAAAAGCAAAGAACAATATCAGTAATAAAAAAAGGAATCTGACTACAAATTATATAACTATGGAATGAGTAAAAAGTGGAAACTATGCACAACTTTATGTCAAGAAATTTAACACTTTAGATGAAATAGTTAAACCCCGCAATAAAAAAGCACAACTTACACAAATTGACATGAGAAGAAATAGAATATCTGACTATCCCTATGTAAAAGAAAATGAATATATAAACCAAAATGTTCTCACAAAGAGAATCAGAAGATAGCTTGACTGGTAAATTCTACCAAACATTTAAGGAATGACTAATAGCAATTCTACACAAATTATTGCATAAAATAGTAAAGGATGAAACACTTCCTTATATATTTTATGTGGCCATCCCACTCTAAAATCAAACACCAGCAAAGGTATACCAAGAAAAATAAATTATTGATAAAGCATGATATAAAACTAATTTTAAAAATTTAGCCAATAAAATATAAGTATAGATAAAAAGAATAATACATCATGGTCATGTAAGTTTTTATCTAAATATGTAATGTTAGTATGATATTAAATCAATATAGTTCATTACGTTACCACAATAAAGGAGAAAACCCATATGATTAACAGATGCAAAATTTAATATACATGCATAAATGAAAAACAGAGAAACTTTTTGCAAAATAGAGTTTAAAGAAAACTATCTTATCTTAATCTGACAGAGAGTATTTATCAAAAAAGAAAAAAATATCCTTAAAGTGTAGGTGATCCTTAATGATAAAACAGTGAATGTTACTCCCTTAAGTTTGGGGAAAAGGCAAATATGTCTGCTTTCTACACGTCTACGGAACATTATACTCAATGTCCTCCTCAGAGTGATAGAGAGAAAAAAGACAATCAGTTATTTGGTATGTGTCAGATAACTACTGGAACCTATGGTGAATTTAGCAAGATCATGAGATGCATGATCCAGTATACAAAATTAGATTGTAGTTCTATGTATTAACAAGAAGCAGACAGAGAAGTGAAATAAATAACAGCAACCATCAGAAACATGGTATTGGAATGAAAATAATGAAATATATACATATCAGTTATTTATAGCTATATAACAAATTATCCTAAAATTTGCTTGAAATAAATATTTATTTCTATTTCAGTGGGTCAGCAATCTGTGTTAAGTTAGCTTAGCACCTCTGATTTAATTGCTCTCATAAAGTTTAAGCACAAATTGGGGATGCAGCTATCCAAAGGCTCAACTAGGGCTGGAAAACTTACCTGTGAACTTACTTGCATGGTTATTGACAAAATTTAGTTCTTTGCAGGCACTTGGACTAAGGGCCTTAGTTTCTTGTTGGCTTACAGCCAGAAGCCATTCTCTTGTCACCTGGGTCTCTCCTTAGGTCAGCTCACAATATGGTAGCTGGCTTCTCTCAGAGACAGCAAGTAAGAGAACTAGACAAAGGTCATAGTCTTTTTACAGCCTAATGTTAGATGTGACTTTCTATTACCTCTGTATATTCTTCTGTTCATTAGAAGTGAGTCATTAAGTCTAGTCCACACTCAAGGTAACTAACTATCAAGAGACAGATACCTCTGAGAGCCAGCCAAGAGGCTCCTTTCCAAACTGGACAAGATTTATACACGGGAAAAAAACCCAGAAGACATTGTTAAGAGAAATTTTTAAAAGACCTAAATAAATGATGATATGGTCCAATCATGGACTGGCAGACATAAGAACATTAAGATGTCACTATATTCAATATAATCCCAATCCTACTAGATTTCTTTAAGAAATATATAAGCGAAATCTAACTTAATATAGAAATTTAAAAAAAAAAGCCACCCTAACCAGAATAGCCGTAACAATTTTGAAATAGAAGAAAGTTGAAGGATTCACGCCAACTCATATCAGGATTTACTATAAAGGTACAGTAGTTAAGTTTGTAGTATGCTGGTGTAATGATAAAAATAGATCAATAGACTATAATAAAGAGTTTTAAAAAGACTGACATTTATATGGTGAATTGATTTTTGACAAAAGTGCTAAAGCAGTTCAATGGAAGAAAATGTAATTTTTTCTTTGACAAATGGTGCCTAACAACTGGATATTTAGTTAGAGAAACATAAAATAAAACTTCTATTTTTTACCTCACATAATGCAGAAAACTGATTTGAGATGGATCGTAGACTTAAAGTTTTGAGAGGAATATATAAGAGAATATTTTTCTGAGTTGAGAATGTAAACCAGTTTCTTAGGACAAAATACTTCATTAACAATAAAAGCTTTTTAGCTCATCAAAATATTTACAATACAGGTATATGACAATTTACTTTTACTTTGAAGGCATCTTTTAAATGTATACAATTTTATAATAAAAGAACAACCCAATTCTTAAAATGTACAAAAGAGTTAAACAGATACTTCAAAAAGAAAAATATATACTAATAAGCAAGTTAAAAATATTCAACATCATTACTCTAGGGAAATGAAAATTAAAATCACAACATAATATCCAATTTGATTTCCATGAAAGTTTTAGAAATTCTTATGTGCAGCCATAGACATTGGAACAATAGTTGCCTCTCAGGATGGAGGATTGATAGAATCGAGCACTAGAGAAATTCTGCACCCTAACCATAGGTTTAATGATAATATGGGTGAATGCGCTATCAAAACACTTCAAGTGGTGCATTAGTACACTTTAATATATGCCTCCAATTTCCTAATTACCAGTATTTGAGCTGCACCCTAATGAATATCCCAATACTCAGTAGAGGCATCCTGGGCACCCATATGACATATTGGGCACCAATATTTAAAGTTTCCAAAGTGTTTTTTAAATTTTTTGAGACAGAGTCTTGCTCCGTCACCCCAGCTAGAATGCAATGGTATCATCATACTTCACTGCAACCTCAAACTTCTGGGCTCAAGCTATCCTCCCGCTTCAGCCTCCTGAGTAGTTGGGACTATGGGTGTGCACCACAACAGCTAGTTAATTTTTCTAGTTTTTGTAGAGTCAGGGTCATGCTCTTGCTCAGATTTGGTCTCAAACTCTTGGCCTCAAATGATCGTCTTGCCTTGGTCTTTCGGAGTACTAGGATTGCAGGTGTGAGCCTCTACACCTGGCCTCAAGTCATCATGCTCTGTCTATAATTTCCATCTGTGGCCATAGAAGAAAGAACTGACTAGACAGTCAATGACAAAATTTTTGGAAACCAGAATTCCATAAATCACCAGAAGTGTGAAATCTCAGATTGAGAAGTGTTGGTCCACTCATTTCTGGAGACTGACTTGCAATATAAGTGGATGAAGAAATCGAGTGGCACTAAGACGTTAATGTGCTAACAAGGCAAAGTGAAGAAAACATACCAAGGCCTGTGAGGAGTTCTCTTTTTCCAAGCAACAAGAATTATTTAACACAGATGTGTTAATAATATTGTACTGTGTGGCAATGCATAGGCAGGTGTTTGTAGTAGATAAGAATAGATAAAAAAAAAAGTATAGATGTAGTCTCAGGACCTAAGAAGTGCAGCAATGGAATTTAAGAACAAATATCCTTTTCAAATATCTCTATGAGTATTTCTTTACTTGTCAAACCATGTGTCCTGATTTTAGTTTGGTTTCAAAACATGGATGAAGTACACACAGGAAGATGACAGAATCCCCAGCACACTTTTATCATGTCTTAGATGGACATCCAAATTCCTTCCCTGCCTTAAGCATCTATTAAATAGTATAAGCTACTTTAATTGGTATCAGTGAATATAGACTATATTATACGAAATTGTCATGAATATTTAAATTGTATTTTTTGTTCAATTCTAGATATTATTTCATGGCGTGTCAGTGTGTTTAATTAACCTGATTGTCAATAAATTTATTTTGCCAATGGCAGTTACTAAACTAGGTAAGCCCTACTAATTTACCACTCTGAGTGAAGAGAAAAATATTCTAAATGTGCTAAAGTAGTAATAATAATGGAAAGAATCCATATACATACAATTCATTGGTACCTAATTGAAGAGAAAATTAAATCTCCATGTAAAGATATATTTATCATTTAGGCCAATAAGCTTGTTTATTTAAAAAGATTTTTTATTTATAGTATTCTAGTATAACTAAAGCAATTCTATAAGTTTATACAATTATTTAGAGTATTTTCATTAAGAGCCTATTCTATGCCAGTCACTATTCTAATTGATAGTCATGCATTATGAAGACAGGCAAAATTTCTGAGTTAATGGATCTTACACTGGAGTGAAAAGAAACAGATGGTAAACATGCCAGGTAAAATAATGTCAAAAAGCCATACGTGCATCAAAGTAAATAAACCACATATGAAATAAAATAGAGAACGCGACAGGTACTAAATTCCTGAGGAAAGTGGAAACTGGGTGAGCCCAAAAAAACAAGATGGTTGGAGAAATTAGAACCTTAGAGAATAAAGCAGGTAATTCTTTATATGCACTTAAGTTTAGCTTACACAATTATGGAAGCTAAATCCCAAGGTACGAGTATGCAGTTCCAAGGTCTGAGAGCAAAAAGAGTCCATAGTGCACATTCCAGTCCAAGTCTGAAGGCAAAGACCAAAGTCCCATCTCAAAGACCATAAGGCAGAGAGAACAAATTCTCTCTTGCTCAGCCTTTTGTTCTTCTATTCAGGCCTCCAACAGACTGGATAAGGCTCCCCCACTCTGGGGAGGGTAATCTGCTTTTCTGTCTACCATTTAAATTGCATATACTAGGTACTTTCTAGCTGTCATCTAGAAACACCCTCACAGACACACCTAGAATAATGTTTAACTAAATATCTGGGCACCCTGGTGACCCTGAAAACTAACTATCATACCCTGTTCCTCTGGTTCCTCATATTGCAGACTGGGAAAAAGACTCACCTCAAAAAGTAGTCAGTACAGACAAAAGACCAAAAGACTTAATAACATATGCAAAATTTAGGGCATATGTTCCAAGCATATAGTAAACACTCAAAAAATATTAACTATTACTATTATTATAGATATCTTAGCTTTTGTGAAAAGCAGTGTAAAGGTACAAAATTTGAAATTGTTAATAATCTTATTAAATAATTTATATTGAAGCTTTATTCAAAGTTTTAAAAAATACTCAGTGACAAGAAGTTCAGAACAAAAGGAAACTTTATCAAAATGGTGATGTTGCTATTTATAAAATATATTTTGTATCCAAGGTCTTCGTGATGTCACATCCACCAAATATAAATCAGTTTATTATACATTTCAACACTTTCAAGAGCTAACCAAATCTTTCGCCGCCGCACTCAAGTTTGATAAAGATCTTGCTAATGCTGATTGGAACATGGTTGAGAAAGCAATTATTCTTCAAAACCCATATGCAGTAAGCAAGTAATGCCTTTTGTTTATTCCTTTAAAATAGACACAGTTGCCATTGGGTGAGTAAAAGTTATGTCATAAATACTAACGCACATGTTTTAATATATGTAATTGCATATATTAAAGAGTTGCATTGACAACTCTTCATTGACCATAATACTAAGGAGGAGATCTTAAGGAATTTTATGATCACTGTGGGGCAAAGTAGAAGTCACAAGCCCTTTGAGAATATAGAAAATATTATGTTGTAAATTCAAAAGAGACAGAAGTGTCTTGGGCTGGCCTGTAGAAGATGTCAAAAAGGGAGTACACCCTATGAAATGGGTAGTTTTTGACCAGATTAAGGGGTAGGAAAGGGCTTTTGATTATTCATTTATTTAGAATTCATTTGGCTATTATATATACTAAGTACTTTCTAGCTCTAATTTATGGTTATTAGCATTTTTAATATAAAACAGAATTCAAAGTAGTACCGTAAGTTGAGCTGCAGGTGAGATGTCACTTTCTGCTCCTGAGATGTGCTTGAGAATATCTGTGGTCACACTTACTCATTTAAGTATACTTAGCACACCAATCAATCATGTTTTCCATAAGGGGAAATAATAAACATTGTCTGGAGATATTCTCGAAGCTTTTGTTGCTTTTCCATGTCCTATATCATGCTTAGTTTTCATTAGAATATTTTTTTGTATCACACCATATAAGGGGCCAACTTCTAGCAGGGCACAATTAAGACAATTAGTCTTTATGAAACAGCATTCTGAAAAATCCACGTCTTCTCCATGAACCAGTGCATGAAACTCCAGGTAAGGACTCAGAACCACAGATTCTGGATTCTAGGATTTCTGGATGGGACAAGAACTATGTCAAATTCAAGAATTTCTAGTAGATCCTAATACCTGAAGGTGACCTTTTATTGATCTATCTGCATCAGAATCATCTGGAAAGTTTATGTAAAATATTGATCAAGTTCCTATTTCCTACCCTGGAGATTCATGGCAGGTGGTCTGAGCAGGGTCTCAGAAATACATATTTTTAATTCACTACCTAGTTGATTCTAATACAGAGTCAGTGTTGGGGCCACTGTTTGGGTACTTGATCTATTTCAGAAGGTAGATGACCATCAGACAATCACATTGTCCTCTTTAGGATACAGATATAGGGCATATTATAGTGTAACAGGTCAAACACTTGTGTTGACTCAGAAAATCTGGATTTATATCTGGCTTTGCCACTTAATGAGTAGCTTTCTGCTCTTGAGTATATCATTTATTTTCTCTAAGCTTCAGTTTTTCTCATCAGCAAATTGTCCATATTCCCATTTCCTTAACATGTATTCACTTCCTATTCCACCGTAAGTGGTTAGTTTAAAGCAGGTAGGACCATAGACTGCTGCTCAGTCCTCCTGATTCTGACTCAATAGGCATAGGGTGTGTTCTGAGAATGGGTATCTCTGGCAATTTCCAGGCGATGCTGCTGCTACTGATGGGGGAACCACCCTTTAAGAGCTGCTGGTTTAAAGTATACTTATATGTGTGGTAGCATTTTCAACAGTTAATAACATCATGTAAAAATGAAGATATGATATAACCCCTTCTTCCCCACACTGGCAAATATTTTACCTTTTGTGCAACTGAGCAAATGATGAGGACATTTGAACAAATAATAAGAATTTGAACATATTCTATTATTTTTCAAATCAAACTGGTATAGGAATTATTTGAGGTGTATGTTAAACAAGATGTATTATGTATTATTTTTTGTCTTTTATTTGTTTTTTACTTAGTTGAACCAAGAAGAAACAACAGAGCATCAGAAGGTGACGTGTCCAAACTGTAACAAGCAGATAGATGAGACCCTTAACATTGAAGCCCTGGAGCTTGCCAACAGGCGTCTTTTGTCGGCACAAATAGTACTGTCTCATACTTTAAAAAATTATTTGGGGGACCTAAAATTATATTGAAATCTTTTTACCCTGCTAAAGATGTCTTAGTGCAAGAGAAAAAAAAGGAAACAAAAAAATCCACTTAAATGTGTTTTATGATGAAAAACTGGGAATTTCAGAAATCCCAATGGGAGGAATTACAAGGGGCCTCAACTCTGAGAGGTGTTAGGCACTGAATTCTGTAACGCCGCCCACTTCTGGGTCCAAGTCGGCTTTTTATAGAAGGATACTGCCAAATTTTCTAATAGCTGCATTTAGAGGGTATGATGTTTTTATTCAATGCTTGAGTAAAAATTAGAGAAATTCGGGACTATGTTAGAAATTACTAATAGGCTAGTTTTCATATTCTGTCCAGGTCAGGATCTTTAACTATGTGGCATGGCTCATCTTCTCTAAATGCTTATGTTGGGCGTTCCTCCCTGTATATGGAGCTGTCGTCCATTTCTCAGCTATTACAACCATATAGTACTGCAAGCATTCTACTTGTTCAGTCTAACTCAAGAAAAAGAAGGCCTGGAGGGCATGATTCTTCAGCAGGAAGTAGTTTGGGTAGACAAGTTGAAGGCCAGAAACTTTTTAAAGAACCTAAACAATTTCTTTAAGCAATTGAGGCAGTGCCATGAAGAATGAAACTTATGCCCTCGTGCTTTGTTCCACCAGGAAATTTTCCGCCTATACTCCACATTAGGTATTACTACCTACAGGGCACAGATCCACTCCCACTCAGCTCAGTTAACACAGGGTAGAGGGGAGATCTCAGCCAGCTCTTCCATCTCTTCTAAACCTGATACACCTAAGAGCCAAGGTTACCAGGGCATCCCTTGGGAACCACCTATGAACGGCTTCCAAAGGGAAGACAAAGGCAGGCTGTCTGAATATACCAAGCCATCAGGGGAGAGAAAAGAAATATATCAGTCAAAAGGAAACAAAGGAACAGGATAGACAAACATCTAGACCAGGATTGCTAAGTAGAAGAGGATCTGAAAAGAGTGGAGTAAGACGAGCCTTGAGAAAACCATGAAAGAATCTCAACAGCCAAATGTGGCTTCTTAAAACTGCAACTCTCTTGAATTACAAAAGCAGAAAGGGAGATTTTGCAAAAACTATGTGGTATAATAACCAAAAGTACAAGCAATCTGCTATATAATTTAGGAAACACAAATCAGATTTCTATTTTTTTCCTGCAAAAAGTCCTGTAATAAAAAAATTTTCTGTAAGATAGAAAATAAAAACAAAAGAGAATGTAAACACCATATGGCAGCAATAGCAAACCATCAGCGTGTTTACAGACATTTTGATCTAGCTCATTGCTCACTTAACTTTTTATGTAGTTTTGCTCCTCCATCCAAGTAGAATACTTATTGGCCAATTTTTTAACAACCCTTCTACCTGGAACTGTGTCAGTGGGATCTCCCATTGCCATCACCACAGTCCTATTCTCCACCCCACCTCTAGTACCACTAATATTTTTATGTACCTACACACACACACACACACACACACACACACACACACTTTCTTAGCCTTAAAAAAAAACCCAAAGCTTATGTCATTTTTCGTATTGATCTCTTTTGGTACATTGTCATTAAATTTTACTTTTTTTTTTTTTTTAACTAATATTTTATTACAACATGGAATGTGAATTTAGGGTTGAGAAGATATTTTTGTTGTCATTTTCTCTTTTAATTGATGTATTTAATTATACATATCTGTAGGGCACAGTGTGCTATTTTGATGTCTGTATACTCCTGTAATATCAAATCAGGGTACATCATTTTTATATGTTGAGAATATTGAAAATCCTCTTTGTAGCTTAAAAAAAAAAACCCACATACTATTGTTTACTATTGTCATCCCTATAGTGCTGCTCAACACTAGAATTTATCCCTCCTATCCAGCTCTAACTTTGATCTCTTAGCCAACCTCTGCCTGCCCTTCTCAGCCTCTAGTAACTACTATCCTACTCTACTCCTATGAAATCAACTTTTTAGCTCCACATAGGAATGAGAACATGAAATATTTATTTTTCCATGCTTGATTTCTTTCACTTAAAAGAATGTCTCACAGGCTCATATGCGTTGTTACATAGGACAGAATTTCGTTCTTCTGTATGGCTCAATTCTATTCTGTTGTGTACATAGGCCACCTTTTCTTTATCCATTCATCCACTGATGGACACTTAGGTTGATTCCATACCTTAGCTGCTGTGAATTCTGCTGCAATAAACATGGGAGTGCAAATATCTCTTCAATATACTTACTTCATTTCTTTTGGATATACATCCAAATGGATGTATAAGGTGGATGATAAGGTAGTTGTAACGTAGCTTCTTTAGGAACTTTCAGACTTTTCTCTACAGTGGCTGTGCTACTTTGCATTCCCACCAACAGTGGATGAGTTCCCTTTTCACTGCACCCTTGCTAGCTATTTGATGGATTTTATCTTCTTGATAATAGCCATTCCAGCTGGGGAGAGAAAATATCTCATTACGGATTTAATTTGTATTTACCTGATGATTTGTGATATTGAGCATTTTGTCATATACTTGTAGGCTATTGGTATATCCTCTTTGAAGAAATATCTCTTCAGATCCTTTGCTAATTTTTTAATCAAATTATTGTTTTTGAAGTTGAGTAGTTTGAGTTCTTTGTATATTCTGGATATTAATTCTTATCAGATGAATAGTTTGTAATATTTTCTCCTACAGATTGCATCTTTACTCTACAGAAGCATTTTTATGTGATATAATCACATTTGTCTATTTTTGCATTTGTTGCTTTTGCTTTTGCGGTCTTACCCATGGTGTCTTTGCCCAGACCAATTACCTAAAGTCTCTTCCTATGTTTTCTTATAGTTGTTTCACAGTATTAGGTTTTATATTTAAATCCTATTTGTGTAGGAAGAGAGATGGGGGCTAGTTTTATTCTGCATGTGGATATCCTGTTACTGGTTTTCCCAGTACCACATATTAAGGAGACTGTCTTTCCCCCAGTAAGTTTCTGGTAACTTTGTTGAAAATCGGTTGGCTATAAATAGATGAATCTATGTCTGAGCTCTCCTATTCCCTTGGTCCATGTGTCTGTTTTTATGTCAGTACCATGTTGGTTACTATAGCTTTGTAGTGAATTTTGAGCTCAAGTAGTATAATGCCTTTGTTCTTTGTGCTCAAAATTACTTTGACTATTTAATATCTTTGGGGGGGGGGCCTCCATACAAATTTTAAGATTTTTTTCCATTAATACTAGAAAATAATGAAATAGTAAATCAATAATAGAGATTACATTGAACTTATGGGATGCTTGAAGAATATCATAATTTTAACAGAATGTATTCCTCAATCCATGAACAATATATGTCTTGCCATTTCTGTGTATTCTTTTCTATTCTGTGTCCAATCTTTTATGGTTTTCACTGTATTTTATTGATTTGCATATGTTGAAGCAAACTTGCATTTCTGGGAAAAATTCCACTTTATCATATTGTATAATCTTTTTGATGGGTAGTTAGATTCAGTTTATTAGTTGTAGATTTTGCATCTATGTTCATCAGAAATATTGCCTATAGCTCACCTTCCTTTCTTTCTTTCTTGCTTGCTTGCTTTCCCTCCCTCCCTCCTTCCCTCCCTCCCTCCCTTCCTTCCTTCCTTCCTTGTTTCCTTGTCTGCTTTTGGTATCAGGATAATACTAACCTCATAGAATACATTTAGAAGAGGTCCCTCCATTTTAATTTTTTTAAATAGTGTGAAAAAAATTGATATTAGATTTTTGTCTATTTGGTCTAGTCTTTTATGGAAACTCTCAATTGTATTTTTTTTTATTTTATTAATTGAGTTTTTTAGCTGAGGGATTTCTACTTGGTTCATTTTTATGATTCTGTCACTTTGTTGAATTTCTTTTTCATATCATGAATTGCTTTTTTTTTTTTTTTAGAGAAAAAGTCTCACTTTGTCACCCTCGGTAGAGTGCCATGGTATCACACAGCTCACAGCAACCTCCAACTCCTGGGCTTAGGAGACTCTCTTGCCTCATCCTCCCAAGTAGCTGGGACTATAGGTGCCTGACACACCTGTAGTGTGGCTATTTTTTTGTTATTGTTGTTGTAGTTTGGCCAGGGCCAGGTTTGAACCTGCCACCCTTGGTATATGGGGCCAGCGCCCTACCCACTGAGCCACAAATGCTGCCCAAAATTGATTTTTTTGTTGTTGTTGTTAGAGACAGAGTCTCACTTTACTGCCCTCCGTAGAGTGCTATGGCATCACAGGTCACAGCAACCTCCAACTCCTGGGCTCAGGCAATTCTCTTACCTCAGCCTCCCGAGTAGCTGGGACTACAGGCACCTGCCACAACACCTGGCTATTTTTTTTTTGTTGTTGCAGTTTGGCCGGGGATGGGTTTGAACCCACCACCCTTGGTGTGTGGGGCTGGTGCCCTACCCACTGAGCCACAGGTGCTGCCCATGAATTGCTTTTCTGATTACACTGAATTGCCTATCTGTGTTTTCTTGTATCTTATACTTATTATTTTGAATTATATTTTAAGCAATTCATAAACTTCTATTTCTTTTGCATCAGTTACTGAAGCATTCTTATGTTTCTTTGGTGGTGACATGTTGACCTGCTTCTTCATTTTTCTTATATGTTTGCATCGGTACTTGCATATCTGATAAAAGAATCACCTCTTCTAATTTTATATAGAGGCTTTTAGACATGTCCTAGGGTGTCATTTGGGTAGAGTGTGTTGGGTTTGTTTTGGGTGGGTACACTAGTGTAGTCTCCCACTATAATCATCATCAGTGATGCCTGCAAGTGCCTAAGTGGCTTAAGCTAAAGAAGTTTATGTGAATGGTCTATCTTCTTGAGCTCCACTCCCCGGAGAACAAGTGACCTAACTAGTCCTTACTCCAGAGAAGTATAGAGCTGGTTGAGAGGTAGCTTAAATTGGATGCTGCTCTTCTGGGTAGGGAACCAGGCTATTCTATGCTCTGGGGGAAGTCTACTCAGGTGCTACTCCTCTGGAGGCAATGCTGGTCCATGCTCTGGGGAAGCAGGGAGCTGGTCAGCCAGTGGGTCAGTTCATGTGCTGCTCCCCTCTAAATTTTATTTGTAAATGTTGAACTATTTTAGATTGTGCATGAATTTTATGGACACCCTGCATTTCAATCTTATATTGTTTTATACCTATCTGAATGATGTTTGAGGAGAAAAATGCTGTTCTATTAAATTCTTGTCAATATAGAAAAATAGTTCTTTTATCCTACATCCTCAAATTTAGTTGCTATCCTTTCCTAGTATCTGCCAAGAACAAAACAGTGTTTTAATATATAAAAATGATTGTGCAAAGATAATGAGTGCTATAGAACTCAAAAATCTTTCCACAGATCCTGCATTTTGGTTAAGGGATTTGGTTTACACAATCATATTCAGCACACTGAGGGCAAGACCAGTGTCAGAGAGTGGTTTTCACATTGCCGTATCACCAGACATAGTGCCTGAAGCTTGGGAGGCTCTTGTATATGTATTGGATGAAAGAGTGACTATGTTCTACAAAATAGTAGCAATCCCTTATTATAATAACCCTTATAAGATTCCTTAGAAATTATTAAGTTCCTTATAAGTAATTCTTATAAGCTTCTTACAAACTTTAAATAGATGAGACAGCAGAGTTTTGTTGTGGGAACATTTGGTAAATGGAACTAAATGAAGATGTAAACTGATTTTTTTTTTTTTTACTGTAGGATTTCTAAGAACCTTTAGTAGTCCAATATGCATTTAAAACTTTTGATATGACTATATAGCTGGTCATAATTCCCAGACTTACTTGGAGTTCCACTTATTTTTGAAAACCTAATTAATATTTAGCAGGTGCTCTGTGGCCCCAGTTTGGCTCTACCTAAAGCCTGGACCTACTTTCTGCACTAATCTCATAGTCTGGATGCCATAAAATGATTCTTTTAATAAAGATACTAGATTATTTGTGTATTTTGACTTCTTTCTCACACATTATTTTTCCATAAAAGTGATAGTAGGTCATCATTGTTGTTCAGGCTGTATAATGACTTAAATCAACATTTCTTTTAGGCGAGCTACCAGAGACAATACAGGAATGACACTCTGTCCCAGGGTGCAGTCCAGGTGTTGGTAGGTGCAGCAGGAAGCTTTGGTGAGAAGAAGGGAGAGTAAGTATACTGGCAAGAGTGGGCTTCTATTCTAGGCCACTGACTTTAGGAAATTATGTAAGTGAGTTTTCTTGCTCTTGTCTCATAACTTGAGTTCATCTAGTACTAAGTGTGCAAGTTGCCACCTGTTCTGCATGCTACACTCAGGCCAGATCACCTATTTTTAGTTTCCCAAATTTGCTGTGCTACTCGAGCCCCAGCCAAAAACCGCAAAAAAAAAAAAACCCTGGTCTTTTTGTATACCCCTAAACCTAAGGGACATGCTAGCTTTGGGTCCACTTACATATACAGACTTGTGCTACACTGTAGGATAAAGTTGAGTGTGAGAAAGAAAGCAGCCAGAAATGAGGGCATGTTCTCATTGTATTTCCAGTACAGATACTCAGAGTCTAAGAATTTTCCTTTTCTATTTTTTTATTATTGTTTTTTTAATTTCAGATTAATATGAGGGTACAAATGATTAGGTTACATCGTTCACATTTCCAAAGTAAAGTTCTGGTTGTAGTTGAACCCTTCACCCTGGGGTTGTGCTGTATACCTTCACATTGTGCCCACTAGGTGAGAGCTCACCGATTCCCCTCCCCCCTCCTCCTCCTTTTTTTCTCCTCCATCCCCACCCCCACTTGAATTTAATTGTGTTTTTCTTTTGTGTGGAGATGTAGTTGTTTTTCTGTTGGTTTCCTATTAGTATTGAGCACACTGGATACTTGGTTTTCCATTCTTGTAATACTTTACTGGGAAGAATAGGCTTCAATATCATCTAGGCAAGAGTTTTCATTTTAAACCTAGCCATGCAAATCATTATGATGTTATCTGTCCAGGTTGTAAATAGGAAGATAAAATTATATCCTATTTAAATGTTGGTTTCTCCATATATAACATTCAAATAGCTCCTTCTATGGTACAAACATCTCCACATGTCCTCTTGATATTAGGATCTTCCAATGCTTATGAGACCTGAGTAAAGTTGAGGGAATTGAAAGAGAGGACTGGGCAAGTTGATCAATATGAAACAATACAATGCATATTATCAAGAAGACAGAGAATTGAATGATTTCAATTACACTAGTGTCCCTGTATCAAAGAAATTAGATAAGTTTTTAAATGAATGAGTAAATGATGTAAATGCAACATCACTTCATTGTCTGGGAGAGTACAATCTGAGAGAGAGAGGTCAATATGAAAACAACATCAAACAGTTTAGCCTACTGCCTTGGTTTTTTCTCCTTAAATCCTCCACAAAGGTAGAGGCAACATATGCCTATGAAGACCCAGACCAAAATGGATACCAAGAGGATGCCAATGGTGGACGGGGAGTCAAGGTTCAAGGACCTTTTTTAGTAGATACTATAGGCAAATTTTGGAATATATTACATTTTTATTTGTAAATGTCAGACACATATATTTAATTTCAACATGTGCAAAGCTATATTCCAGGCACTGTGGGGGACATTATGGTCAGCAAAGTAGTCTTTCAATCCTAGAGAACTTTCTATTAATTATGTTCATATTCAATTCTTGCTTCTTTGCTTGGTTTGCCTTGTGTTGATTTTGCCAAGGAGTTGATTACTCCTATCTGTAGCCCCATATGTTGGGGTGTCCTGTGGCAAGGAAAATATGCCTAAAGAGAGTAGAAGTGGAGGATTGAAACAGGAGTACAGGACATATGTTGAATGCCTGTGCAATTGCCTAAAAAATAATGCTTTGAATACATAATTACTTTTGTCAAGTGCTGTGTCAGGTAGTTTTAAACACTTTATATGTATCAACATATTTTTACCTTACCAAATTTTGATGACATAATTGCTGTTATTACATTCATGATTCAGGTGAGGAAAGTGAAGCACAGAGAGGTTAAAGAATTTACCCAATGTCTTGGGAGTAGTAAATTATAGATCCCAATGAGGGATCCAACCAGAAAACCCAATTATATCCGAATCCCAAATATTTGAATTATTATATGCTTTCTCTTCTTGAACCTAGACCTTTCTACTATTTTTTTTTCTTTACCTTTGTTTTCTTTTTTGTTTGTTTGTTTTTGTTTTTTTGAAGCAGAGTCTTACTCTGTTGCCCTGGAGTTGAGTGCTGCAGCATCATCATAGCTCACAGCAACCTCAAACTCTTGGGCTGAAGAGATTCTCATGACTTAGCTTCCTGAGTAGCTGGGACTACAGGTGGGTGCCACAAACCCCAGCTAATTTTTCTACTTTGAGTAGAGACATCTTGCTCTTGCTCACCCTGGTCTCAAATTTCTGAGCTCAAGCAACCCACCCACCTCAGTTTCCCAAAGTGTTAAGATTACAAGTGTGAGCCATCTGGACTTTCTAGTATTTTAAATCATATATCTCCAAATTTTAATACTTTTGGTGTAATGAGTGAGCCCTAGTACCTAACTTCATGATTGTTTATCTACTGGTGTCTGTAAGTTCATGACTTGGAACTGTTTCCGTGAAAAAGTCTCATTTCCAGTCAACATTGCATATAAAATAGTCTTTCTGCTTTCTGACAATACTGCATTAAAATGTTTCTAAAATGTTTAAAGCATGTTTAAAGATTTCTCTCTTTTTTTTCAGATATGTAAGTCTTGAGACAATAAAGAAATATTCTGAAGGCAAAAAATTACTTTCTGTTGTTAGAAAACTACTGCTTGATTGGGTATATAATACTAGAAAAGATAAAGGGATTCCATCAAAGTAAGTGCTTTTGAACCTTATAAGAAATTCAATTATATTCATTTGAAATTCCCTGTTTATTTCTTTTTAAATTATATCCTATATACTTTGCAAAATATTTTGAAGTAGTTTACAACTAAATTACTTATTACATACAAAAAGTTACTTAAAGAAGAAAGCATAAGGTTCATTAACGTTGTGGCCTGTATCAGTATTTTAATCCTTACAGCTGAATAATATTGCATTAAATGGATATAGCACATTTTGTGTACCCCTTCATCAATTGACAGGCGTTTGGATTATTGCCACGTTTTGGCTACTGTGAATAGTGCTGCTGTGAATATTCATATACAAGTATGTGTTTGAATATCTGCTTCTCATTCTTTTGGGTATACACCTAGGCAAAAAAAATTGCTGCGTCATGTGGTAATTCTATATTTGATTTCCTGAAGAACCACCAAATTGTTTCCTGCTACTGCTGGACAATATTGATACAAGAAAGGATGAGCCCTTCAACTTTATTTTTCTTTTTCAGTGTTGTTCTAGCTATTTGAGATTTCAAAATTTCGTATGTTTTTTAGGATTATTTTGTCTATTTCTACAAAAATAATCTTTGAGATTTTCATAGAAATTGCATGGAAGGTTTAAGTATTGTCATCTTAGCAATATTAAACCTTCCAGTCTATGAACATGGAATGTCTTTCCATTATTTAAATCTTTGATTTCTTTCAGTAATGTATCATAGTTTTAAGCATGTAAGCCTTAGGTTAAATTTAATCCCAAGTATTTTGGGTTTTTTCATGCTATTTTAATTAGAATTTTTTTATAATTTTATTTTCAGATCATTCATGCCTAGTGTGTAGAAATATAACTGATTTTTATGTATCAAACTTACATCCTAAAACTTGGCTGATTTTGCTAGATGTTTTTTGTGGACTCTTTAAGACTTTCTGTATATAGGGTTGTGTCATCTACAAATAAAGATACTTCTTCCTTTGCAATTGGGGTGCCTATTATTTCTTTTCTTAAATTCAGTGGGAAGAAATATAGACTCTCAATAGGAATATCAAAGAATTTTTTATGTATCTTCAATCTTCCATATTCAAATAGCCAAAGTATATTCTTATAATTCCTTAAAAATCTTCAGTGCTGACTTAAGCTGCAAATTTTCTGAGTATTTATTTCTGTTGATGTAAGAAAGGGAAATTTGAAAAACTATTACTGACAACATGTGTCCTTTAGGATATCTTTAGAATATCATCATCCCAAAGTAAGTAGAAGTCCAGATTCTGAACTCAGATGACATGGTTTAGAATCACAAGCTCCATTAATTTATTAGCTGAATGATCTTTTTAGGCTTCTGTTTCTTCTTTTGAAAAATAGGTATAGTAGTATCTACATCATATTCTGTAAACCAACTGATATATTTAAAGCATTTGGCAAAGTAACTGACAAGTAGTCTGTAGTAATATATGTTAATTAGGTTCTCCTTTTCCTACTTCATAGGATTGTCGTGACGATTACATAAACAGTGCAGAAGCACTTAGTTCAGGGACTAGCACTAGGTAAACATTTAGCAAATGTTAGTATTTATTATTTAGTGCTGATTAGTGATCCACTTAAGAGTAAGTACCCTAGACAATAGATGAAGTCCTTGTCAAAGATCAATGAACATATAAGGAAACAAACAGGAATGCAAATCAGTAGAAATAATAACAGATGTATGTCTCTAAGACTTTAGTTATCAGAATTATTTAGAATCAACCATAAGTATTGCTGAAATGTTTAAGTTAATAAATGATGGAATCACAAACATGGCAAGTTCAATCACCAAAAGAAATTGAATATAAAAATGGAAAAATATATATAATTACTGAAATTAAAAAGTCAACTTAAAAATTCAAATTAAATAATAAAATAGATATAATATCATTTTGGAGGATGCAGCTAGAACTATGCAAATGAAAATCAACACATCTCATTGACAGGGCTTGTATATTGTCAACATGCAAAAGATTGAGATCATGAGGCCTAAAATGGAAACACTAGGGTAGATAAACCTGAAGGTCTTGAACTCCAACGTTCTTATGAGCACTCTGCTCTAGCAGAAGCAAGCCCAGGCTCCCTACTAGAGGATAGTGGCCTCCTATAACCATCAGATGCAGCAAAGACATCACAAAATGAAACTTGTCCTTTTTCTCAAGATTAGTCTTTATCCCCTTTTATTGTTTCCAGAGAAATTGCCTATGCAGGGCTCAACACAGCTGGAGAGGGAAGTGTAGTGCTGTTTTGATGTTAAAGTGCAGTGCTGTGCCATATATGGTTTGGTGCCAGAAAAGATCAAGAAACACAATCTGGAGAGAGGGCTGAAGCAAGGCAGAAGTGGTGTCACCATGGAGTTAACAAGGCTGATGGCCCCTGTCTCACAGAGGCACTGCCTGAGGTCTTATAGGGTCCAATCATTGTGATCACATGATCATACATCTCTGTATTCATAATTTTATCTTATTTTTCTCAAATAGGATCCCAAATTGTAAAAGCTTCTAGCTTATTTCACAGATCTACCCCCTGAGACTGGTAGAAAATGATCTAGTACTTAACTCAATCTTTAATGAGGAATTGATTAATCATATCATTGGTTTTAACAATAATAATGCATTATGACACTGCTTGGTAATGAAAAATAGAAATTCAGTGGCAGGTACCTGTAGTCCCAGCTACTCTGGAAGCTGAGGCAGGAGGAGAGCTAGAGCCCAGGAGTTTGAGGTTGCAGTGAGCTATGTGTGTCAAAAAAAAATAGAATTCAATTTTGCTGTCAGAAGTTCTAGATCTTGTGCTTTCCTACAACTGCTGCCTTAAGGCTGTTGGATTCTGCATCCCTGAAGTGATGTTTCCACAATATTTGGTGTATTGCCAAGGGCAACAAAAATGAACAAATCTCTGGAATGTCTTCTTTATGGAATGCACATTGCCAATCCATGTAGAAATAGTTCTGCTGGCAGAGATAAAATTCCAGAGTCCTCTACAAAAGCAAAGGAAATGAATACATCTTGGGGTCATCTGGTTAAGTCCTTTGCCACTGCCACCTGAACCTTGCTACTTTTAAGTTGTTTATGTTATCCTGCAGTCTGTCGGGAAAGTATCCAGCCATTGTTAATATAATGAAAATGTTTTGGGATCCCTCAGGGTAATCTCTGGAAGGCACAGGTCACTGTACTCTTCATAGGGGCGCCAAAAGCCCTTAAGTGAACTTCCATATTGTGTGACCCTGGCATTCAACATGACTGTGGCTCAGTGGGTAGGGTGCCTGCCCCATATACCCACGGTGGTGGGTTAGAACCCAGCCCCGGCTAAACTGTAACAAAAAAATAGCTGGGCATTGTGGGGGGGCCTTTAGTCCCAGCTACTTGGGAGGCTGACGCAAGAGAATCGCCTAAGTCCAGGAGTTGGAGGTTACTGTAAGCTGTGACGCTACACACTCTACTAATGGGGACATAGTGAGACTATTTCAAAAAAAAAAAATCTGCCTTAAGCTTGGATGTTCCTCCATGGAACTATTCAAATGGCTCCTAAGGCTTTAGGGGATGATGCAGTGAGCGTGGCGCATATAAAAGTGTGGCACAAACATTTCCGAAATGGTCAAGCATCTGTTCAGCGTGATCCATGTTCTGGAAGGCCTGCAACTAGCAGAATACCTGAGAATGGTGAGCGTGTCCTTCCTGCAACCAACAAAGTTCAGTGACTGACAGCGCCAGAACTGGAAACTGAACTGGGGGTTCCAAAAACTACGGTGTCTGAGATTTTGACTCAAGTTCTGGGTATGAAACGTGTTGTGGCAAAACGTTCCATGCCTTTTGCTCCCAGAGGAGGAGGAGCATTGTGCTGCATTTGCTAATGGCTGTGCTTCCCACTGCTACCCATGAACTGGATTCTCTCAAGAAGGTCATAACTGGGGAAGAATCGTGTCTATGGCTGTGATCAGAAAGAAAGGCCCAGTCATCCCAGTGGAAGTTGCTTGGTTCTCTATGTCCCAAGAAGGGGTGTCAAAGTCACAGTAAGATCAAGACCATGTTATTAACCCTGTTCTGTGATTGGGAAGGTGTTGTCGGTCACTAGCATGGTCCTCCAGGGCAGACATTTGATAAGGAGTACTACCTGTTTGTTCTTCTATGAGGAAAATGGCACAGCTCCAGATAACTAGTAAATGGCAGCTTCATCACTATGATGAGCCTGCGCGTGCACCAAGTCTTGGGAAGAGTTTTTGGTGATAGATCAAATCACCCAGGGACTCAGTCCCTCTACAGTCCAGATTGAATGCCCTGTGATTTCTGGCTTTTCCCAAAACTGAAATCATCTTTGAAAGGGAAGAGATTTCAAACTATTGATGAGATACAATGAGGCGGCTGATGGTAATTCCAACACAAGATTTTGCAGACTGTTTTGAACAGTGGAAGAAACTCTTGGGAGAACTGTGTGATGTCCCAGCATGCCTACTGTGAAGTGGGCTGAGGTGTCCTTGTCCTAAGTACAATGTTTCTTTTATCTTTATCTTCAATAAGTGCCTCCATTTTCCATACGAAAATAAAAAATAGATAAAAATAAAAATGTAAAAAGTAAATCATCTCATCTGTATTTCACTCTCTAGAATACTTAGTATAAAAACTATTTTTCAAAGCATATACCTTAATTTAAACTTTTTGATATAAACTTGGATCGATATGTTCCAGTACCACATATGTCTTGAAAAGGGAACATGCTCATAATACATTGTTAAAAGGGAAAAAGAAGCAAGTTTCAGAAAAATAGTATAATTCAATTTCTTCTGTGGTTATAGATAATGATCTTATAAACATAAAAAAGCTATAACAATATTGAAATTGTTAATGATAGTCATCTCTGAGCATTAGAATTATTGGGAGATGAGATTCTCTTTATTCTTTAAATATTTCCAGTTTGAATTATTCCTTCTACCAAACGTATTTCTATTAAAAGTAAGAGAAAAGGGGGATGAGAAGTAAGGAAAGAGAAACAAAGAGGGGAAACTGGACTCAAGACATTTAGCAGAGGAAGACTTTAAAAGGACAGTGTCTGGAGCAGAATACCAGCAAGTGTTAGCGAGTGGTGACTGCTTTTAGATTTAAGCTCTGAGGCTGTTGTTAATAGCCTGAGGATATATGAAGTATATATGAATAACTGAGTATATATGAAGATCATTTGGTGTAATTCTTTTGTCAGGTTAAACTGTCTTTTTTGTTTTACAGGCATTTCATTTTTCGTGTATGCCACCAAATAGTATTTACAGATGAATTTGAATATGTTGGATACCTTATAATACTAATGAACACGTTTCCTATTGTAATCTCTTGGGTGCCCGACATAAATGAAACCTATGAAGATGAATTAATACATGCAAACTACTCCTTCCTTACATTTTATATTCTAGAGAACCTACTTAAGGTAGTCAAAAATTTGCATATGTGAATGTGTTGTATGTCTAACAGGGAGATTTTTGAACCTCGTTTTTCAACATTAGCTACAGAGAGTTTTCTAAAGGAGTGTATGAAATTTTCCCTTATTTCTCAAGACAACCTTTAATTATCAAAGGTGACAATTTAGGGTGAGTGAATAGAAAATATGCGTATTCTAAGCATTGATTTTGTTATTTGTAAAAATAAATTTTAAAATGGTGTGTGTTAAAGAAACACAGAGTGAGTTCCAAAGGTATTGACAATGGTCATAAACTGAGCAAGGCAGTGAGTATATGAATATTTGTTTCTGTTGTTTTTATACTAAATATATAAATAGATGGGTAACTTTCTAGATATTCTCTTATACTTGAGACAATTCACAATTTACCTTTTTTTTTTTTGACTGGGACTGGGTTTGAACCTGCCACCTCTGGCATATGGGGCCTGTGCCCTACTCCTTTGAGCCACAGGCGCCGCCCAACACAATTTACTTTTTAAATATAAAAATGTTAAATGATGGTATCGTATGCCTACAAACTGATGGTATTGTAGTGTTGTATCAGTTAACAAGAGGTAATATAAATTTTTTATCAGGAAAATATAAATGGAGGAATTGTATGTGATGCATAGACAAAAATACAAACCTCAGATCTTTACTGGAAAATTTAAGTGGTACTCCTAAACCATGTTATTGGGAGAAAATGAATTCAAATCCAATCATATTGTATGTAATAAATTCAAAGCTAGTTGAAAAGATCACAGAAGGTTTCATAGAATTAAAAGAAACTAAAGCATTTAGGATCAGAGTTAGTGATAGTATAAGGGTGAAAGTGATGAGTCCCCTGAAATCATTTAACGTGCACTGTAGTGGGAAGAGCACTGAGCTGGGGTTCAGCAGATTTGGGCTCTGGTTTTGGTCTTCTCTGACTAGCTGTAAGCTATTGACTTTGGTTACTGAACTTTTCCCAACCTTAACTTCCTCGGCTGGGTTGACCTAAATCAGAAGTCCCCAACCGTTTTCACACCAGAGACTGGTTTGATGGAAAACAATTTTTCCACTGGGTTTGGTGGGGGGGGGGTGTTGTCAGGATAGAGGAGTAGATTCTCCCAAGGAGAATGCACAGCCTAAATCCCTCACATAGGCAGTTACCAGTGGGGTTCACACTCTTTAGGAGGATCTAATGCTGCCGCTGATCTGACAGGAGGTGGAACTCAGGTGCTGATGCTGCTGTTGGAGAGTGTCTGTAAATACTGATGAAGCTTCATTGCTCACCAGCTGCTCACCTCCTACTGTGCAACTATTTCCTAACAGGCCACAGACAGGTATTGGTCTGCAGCCTGGGGATTGGGGAATGACAGACTGATGGAGATCCTCCTAGATCTTATAATAAATCCCCCTATTATTATTCATACTTTGGCAAGGTCGGACTGCCCCCATAGTCACAGTGGGCTTCGTAGAATCAGGCTCACTTAAGACACTAGGACTAGCGACAGAGCTACCACTGCACTTTATAGCTGAGAAGACACTCCTAAGTTACAATCCTGTTGTCTCAACCTCCTACTTAAAGTTTCCCCTTACTGCCCAATTTTTAACCTCACATTTACTTATCGTTTCCTTTACCCTCTTTTCTCTTTAGTTTAATTCTGCCATTTTTATCTTGCCTTTTTTAAGTCTCTATTACATTAATAACAAGAATAATAATTTTTCACCTACAAGGGGCCATTTTCAAATCCTTAAGTTAATCTTGCTATCTTGGTTGCAGCAGATCAGGAGCTGAGTGTCTGAAAAGTTATGTCACTTGTCTAATGTCAGATATGTAGTAGCTAATGAATAATAGAGTTGGGATGCAATCCTGCAAGGTTTCATCTTCTTTCTAACACAAATTGCTGCCTTAAATTCCCTTCCCTGTATTTTCAAACTTTTTTCAAACATTCATCACTCTGTTAAAGAAATGGGTCTTTTGAAACTTTATCAGGGGAATGTTGATCACTCTTCTGCATCTGAAATCCAGAGGGTGATATTACTGGAGCTTCCAACCATTCTTTGACAGTCTTGCATTAAATAAATCCCTCCTCTGTTGAAGCCTACACCGTCCTTTTATACTGGACTTCCCCTTTCCTGTGGCCATATTCTTATGCCCTCCAGATAATTCCTTCTATTTTGAAATACTTGGCATCTAGATAAAGTCTTATTCTTTAAACCAGTTCTTTCAAGTTTCTAAGATAATAATCCCAACTAATTCTCTGTTTCAATAAGAAGAAAATGAAACATCTAGAGAGGCTAAATGATGACTTGAGCAGGACCTCTCAAGGCCAGGATCTTATC